GTTTTTTGCATCTATGCAATGAAAAAACGCATATTGTCGAGGGGTTGTCTGTGTGTGTGTGTGTGTCTGTGTGTGCGTCTGTAACAAGTTTTCATCTCGAGGTCCACAAAAACTACAAGGCTGAAAATTTGGTGACTTAATCTAAAAATACGTGCGGGCTCGTATCCTCAAAATGGACGCTCAGATCCGCGTGCTTCTCACGTAGGGGCACGTGAAAGTTTTTTTGGCGGGAAAGCGTTTTCGGGAACGGCCCATGCTAGGGGGCTGGAACTTCACAGATTTGTTCATTGACAGCGTCGATTCCAAAGATTTCAAATTCAGCTTTCACGCACCCTCAGGACTCACGCACGCACACGTCAGAGTTTAAACTGGCACCATGCCAACTCCAAATTTAAGGTGATCGATAAGCTGCAGAGAGCTGCGGTTTTGCAGTGTTACTTGTTGCCCACTGTTCTGTCCGTGAAAGTAAGGTACTTGTCAGCTCTTCCGCATCTCACGTACGAACACGTGTGCACACGTGAAATTTGACGTAACTCCGCAACCAGAGCAACTTAAGTGCTGAAACTTTCTGAGCGTTACCCAGGGCCGTGTTTGAGTAACCCCAAGCGAAGAAAGCATTCACTTTATCATCCACGCACGAACACGTGAAATTTGACGTAACCCTGCAACCGGAGCAGCTGGGGTGCTGAAATTTTCTGAGCGCTACCCGGGACCGTATTTGACCAACCGCGGGCGAAGAAAGAACTCAATTTGCCACTCACATACGAGCACGTGAAATTTGACGTAGCTCTCCAACCAGAGCAGCTGGAGTGCTGAAACTTTCTAAGCGTTATCCAGGGCCGTTTTTGAGTAACCCCAAGCGAAGAAAGCACTCACGTTGCTACTCACGTACGAGCACGTGAAATTTGACGCAACTCTGCGACCAGAGCAGCTGGGGTGCTGAAACTTTCTGAGCGTTACCCAGGGCCGTGTTTGACCAACCGCGGGCGAAGAAAACACTCACGCTGCTACTAACGTACGAACACGTGAAATTTGACGTAACTCCGCAACCGAAGCATCCAGAGCGCTGAATTTTTTGGACATGGACTGGGAGTCATTGTAATAATTTCTAACAGTCGTGGTGGCCAGTCACAATTCTTTTAGCTAGAAGCGTCTACCAGGAAGAACGTGCCACTGGCGAAAAAAAACTGCGGGGGGAACTGTGCAATAAACGCATCCTCGTACCGGCAGCCGGTACGCTTTCGACTAGGTTTTCCTTCTGCAGAGAAGTAATAAATAGGAATAACAAACCAAACGCAAAATAAAGTTAAATCAAAATTAAGTTAAATAATAGGCTAAATCAAAAATCATTTTAGTAGTAGTACTCAAAATGTTTTGAGGGTCGCAGTCGTATTCCTGGCTCGTGAATGGCACAACTGATCGATTCGTGTCGCAGAATGACCGAATATTCATATCACGTGATGGAACTCTGTACTTTTCATACAACATAAAGGAAGATCAAACAAGGTTATTCATTTGAGACATTCCATATTCTAATATATTTTACAAGGCTTTTTTCAGCACGCAATTTTTGTCACTGACAAATTCTTAACAGTGGCTGTGCCTCACAGTTTATTGTAGTTGAAATTTGTTAGCACGATTGTCAAGTAGTAAATTATGTAACGATAGAGGGACAATGTTAAAACGCCTGCCTCCACAGCGCACAGGAGAACATCGGTTATGCATAGCCCAGTGCCGCCCAATTGATGGTGTCAATCCATGTTTAACACTTTTAATGAGGAAAAAATGCCAAGTTCACCCCGATAACCATTACGGGTAGTTCGTGTTAGTGACAACACTGAATTTCTCTTTTCACTCTTTCTTTTATATCCAGTTCAAATCCTCATAAATAGCTATCATTATTACATTTTGTCTTTTATTCTTTATCTGTGCTAGGTCAAATGCTTTTTCGTAGTCGACGGTCAGATACAAAGAAGCTGATATTTCACTGCACATTTCTTTGCATGTAATTACTTTTAGCGTTTCGTTTTTTTTTATTATTATTTTCGTGCAAACGGTTCTTGAGCGTCCCAAAGGTAGTAATGTTCTAAATGTTTCCTCTTCTCCTTCTCTAGATAAATTATTAACACTTATTGGCTCAGGTTTCAGTTTCTAACTCAAAATATATTCCAGCTTGATTTTTCGTATTGTACACTCATTATGATAACGTCTAATATTTTTTTTTTCCTTGTCACGTTGTGCCAGTGTCAGGCCCGAAAAGACACTGACTTAGCGTATCAGTTGACGTGAGATTGTCACATACCTAGTACTGGTAAAATTAAGGCCAAATTCAATTATTACGTTGGTAACATCCGGAGCTTTTTTTTCAGTTCAAAAATTTTTCCGGTGTCAAAAAAGTGATGTTGCAGCTATGCATGCTCAGTAGCACTTACTTCAGTGCAGAGCGGCCATTATGGGCCATTTTTCAACTTCCGATTACCGGAACTTGTGAGTGAAGAACATTTCCCACCGCAGATTGATAGTTTTCAACCTCAAGTTTTCCCAGAAACACCACAAGTCGGTCAAACAGCGTTTTTGGAATGTTTTGCATACGCACGGTATGTTTTTGAAATGACATTTCATAAAATATTGTTAAAAAACGGGTGTCTGTAAAAGTTATCAAATCTGTATTTGAAGAATTACGGCTAATCGAAGCATTTTTAGTATTACAGTGCCCGTGATAGCTGCACCCGGCTTATGAGCACCAAAAAAGAAGGAGGAAAACTGTAATGTGAAGTTTCTTGCTTCTGTTGAATACTTTAATAAATCAGCTCTTTTTCATCTGCGCCGTTCACTTTCTTTTTGAGCTTTTTCCGGGAGTCCTAGCTGCATCGGTAACATCAGTCGGTAGTTCAGCTACATTGATAAGTACTGCTAGAACTGATCTGCTGAGCTGGGCTGTGATGCCTTCGATATGTTGGCATCAGAGCCCTTGCTTGAGTGCCAGTACTTTGGCTTGAGAATCGCTTGTTGATCGGTTCATCTCTGAGTGCTTGCATTTTTGGTAAATAACTGCATATGGAAAGTTCTTAAATAGCTACATCCTCATTCGGCTTTCTTTTACCCCTACCCACTGTAAAATACACAATGTAGTTACAGCTTGTATTAGCTAAGAGCTCGAAAATAGATCGCTTTAGCCCTGCACCGACTTACCGATGGAGCCGAATCGATGGTAGGCCACTATCGCGGAAAGCAGCACTGACTATGAATGGTCGCCTACTGCGCATCGAGCAACTTGAAATTGATGACGAAGGGACATATCGTTGTACTGCCCTCAATGAAATGGGCTCCGATAGCGCTATTGTAAATCTGGTTGTTTTTGGTAAGCGCTGCTTCTTAAATTTTCGAATAAAACGTAGAAACGAGAAACTAACAAGCTTTAAATGCATGAGCGCTTAGTCTTTAGCTTTAACTACGCCCATTCGTCTTGCCTGGCTCGCTTGTTTGTAACAAATAATACCCTGTTATCAACAGTTATCTTCTTTTCTTAAGGGCGGGGAGAGGCTGTTTTCAGAAAAATTTGATTGGGAGAAGATATTTCAAAAATCTTGAATCAAAATTCTTTACATATCTTCTCTGATATAGCGCAGTAGGAAGGAGAACCGCTGTCGTGCAAGTCGAGGGTTCAGCTCAGCCGGTGTAACAAGTTCAGCTACGGCTCGTTCATTTGTTTTGGTGGTAAATTGGTAAGCCAGACCCTCAACCAGCTTGCTTGTAAGAAATCTTCGAAGGAGGGCACCATCGATAGCCTTTCAGGTGTTTGTTATTGGTATTTGCTACTACTTGGGCTACTTCCCAAGCACCCCAGTCCTCAAGGTGACAGAACACAGATAGGGGTCTGACTCTGGATAAAGAATTATAGCTTTTTTTCTAAAGAAAGCACACTAAAAGATATTATTTTACTTATTCTTTAGCACTTAAAAATTATTTGGAATTCAGCAAATCAAACTGTTAAAAAGCCATAAAAAATAAAATTTTATATACACTTCCTGAAAGAGTTTAGAAGCTAGCTGCTTTTTCTTGAATGTGCCACTAAGTCGCGAAGCATACGGGCCGTAAACATACTGCTCTAAACAAAATAATTGGTCAGCGCACGGGCTGCCTGTGCGAAGATGCGTTTTTTGCATAACTCCCCGCAGATTTTTGTCGCTAACGGCACTGTTTTTTCCGGCAGATGCTTCTAGTTAAAAGAATTTCAGACTGGCCGCCAAGACTGTCAGGAAGCATTCCTTCAAAATTCCAGTCTTGTAGCTTCTCAGGTTCCCGAATTAGCAACTTATCCGAAAAAAAACTTTTACAGGCCCATACGTGAGGATGACTCATATCCGTGGGCTAGGTTTGAGCTCATTAATACCTACGAGAGTGGGGAACATACCCTTAAAATTACGGTCTTCTAACTTTTCAGGTTCCCGAGTTAGCGAGTTGCCCGAAAAAACTTTCATGGGTCCGCACATGGGTACAACGCATATTTGAAGGCTGGGTTTGAACTCCTTAATACCTATTTGGACGGGGAACATCCCCGTAAAATTCCAGTCTTCTAGCTTCTCAGATTCCTGAGTTATCAACTTACCCGGAAAAAATCCTCCCGGCCCACACACACCCGAGGGCTGGGTTTGAGCTCATTGAGACTTACGTGAAAGGGATACATCCCCTTAAGGTTCCAGCTTTCTAGCTTTTCTGGTTCTCGAGTTGACGACTTACCCGCAAAAAACTTTCAGGGGCCCGTGCGTAGTTAACGTGCGTAGCATACCCGGGGGCTTTAAGTTCTTTAATGCCTATGTGGACAGGAAACATTCCCTTAAAATTACAGTCTAACTTTTTAGGTTCCCGAGTTAGCGACTTACTCAAAAAAATTTCACGGGCCCGTACGTGGGTACCACGCATACCCGAGATCTGAGTTTGAGCTCATTAATATCTACTTGGACGGAGAACAACCCCTTAAGATTTCAGCTTTCTAGCTTTTCAGGTTCTCGAGTTAGCGACTTGCCCGAAAAAATTTCACGGACCCGTACGTGGGTACCACGCGGGTAAGAGCGCCCATTTTGGGGATTTGAGCCCGTACGTGCACGTAGATTAAGTTCCCAAAATTTCAGCCATGTACCTTTTATAGGTTTTGAGATGAAAAATCGGTACAACCGCACACACGGACACACAGACAACCCCTCGTCAATATGCGTTTTCTGCATTGCATAGCTGCAAAAAACGCATAAAAAGGATTGTGATTAAAAAAAGTTTTAGTGAAACCAAGGATAATAACACCGCTTTACGACCGTATGATTGAAAAGAACGGAACGATTGTGCTGGAGTGTCTTCTCGCGAATGGATCTGAAGCCGTTGAATGGTTCAGGAATGCGTCGCCGCTCAATACTTTGTTGCTGTCAGCGGTGGATCGCGCTCGACTTATTGTGGGCAAAAATAGGTCTGCTTAACGAAACTGATGCTACTGCCACTGTGAACATTTTCGCTGTGATCCGGCTTGAATACTGGCGTTATCTTTTTTCCAGGTTAACGATAACAGAGGCTCTTACTGAAGACAGCGCTGTGTACCAGTGCATTGCCACGAACGAGATAGGATCAGTGAGCTCATCAGCTCGACTTACTGTTACTGATATGAAACCTCGTTTCGATGAATTCACGATGCCTCGGAGGATATTCACCGTCCCAGGCGCACATTTGGTGCGTTGGTTACTTTCATCTGCCACCAAAGTTAGCCAGGCCACTGCTCATCCAGAATGAAATGAGGAGATTTCCACATTTTGACGCTTACCCGTTGTGAAACTGTTTGGCAGGTAGCAAATTTTACTCACGATCTACTCATACTCGAAATTCCATCGTGTACCAGCAGTTCATGTGCATTTCTGCTTGTTCAAATGACAGTTTCATCAACAACAACGCCACTGGCACACTAGCGAGACTGTGCTCATCATGCCTCTTCAGATGGCTGCTCCTCAAGTATGTAACTCTTCTGGCTTCGAGCAGAATGGCAGTGATTTATAATTTCCGTATTTCCTCAAGGACTTGCAATATTTTGTTTGCCAGCTGGGCACAGCCAGAGGGCTTATCAGTTTCACTTAAACACTGGCCAAAATGTGCCGCAAGCATCTAGAAAACGATAGGTTTCCTAGGGCGTACTTGTAAACAAATTTGCTGCACAGGTAATTCCGTGTATTTACGAATCGTCACCACCTGGATTTGCCGCATGGTTTCGCCATGGTGGAGAACCGATTCACGCTTCTGGACGCGTACGGCAGCAGGATGCGCTTGTTCATACACTCATTTTTGATTACACGGAGTCAAGCGATGAAGGGGAGTACGTCTGTGCTGTTGCAAACAGATGTGGAGAAACGCAGTATAGTTTGCAATTGTCTGTGATCGGTTCGTTTTCAAATAAAAAACTCCATGTGTGTGAATGGTTTGAAATTCTTGGATACTGCTGAGATGCATGCTATTTCTGGATTTTCTGCATTGAAATATTTGCCTCCGCGCCAAAATATGTTGTAGTGTAATCAGCAATTCCCATCGCGCACGTACTTTGTGCCTTCAAAAGGCAAACCTGTTATTATATCACCATATTTTTACTTCTCTTGTTAATTATAACTCATTCCATTATTTACTAGCACCATGTAGCCGCCTAACGAGGAGCCTGGGCATGTGGACTTAATTATGCTGGAACAATCTTAAGTTACTTTTTATTAAATTTTTGTGTAATTTTGTTTAGGATGTATAACTACGTCCGATATGTAACAACATCCTTGTGACATTCAGAATATGTTCAAAATATTTTCAAACTGGGTTTTCGGTTCACCAAAACATTTTCCAGATCAGGGATTTGGCTTGTAAGACAGCTGCCGGATTGGGTGTTTGGATTTTTTATTCACATCGAATGCCCAGGCTGCCTTATTATTTTTGATGATATTTAGGACGCGCTGTTGCAGTTTAGTAGAAGTAGTGTGGTTCACCATGTCGAGCACTTATTTTGACACTTTTTGGTTTCACCGCCATGTCGCACTCCTAGTGTTTTTTTTTTCTTTTTTGCAGAAAAACCGAGTGTCAGTGTGCTGCCAAAAGTGAAACATCTTTCAACGAATGCAGACAATGTGTCGGTAATTTGTGAAGTGGAAACTTCTTGTAAAAACAGCGAGGATTGCATAGAAGCTCAGTTTGATTGGTCTGTTAACGACCGACCGTTGCGTTCCCTCTCACACTTCAAGCATATCAGATCCGTGGTATGGTTAGACCGATTTACTATTTATACATTTAGTGAAGCTTCTGAGGGTAAAAGGCCGGGTGTCACTTGTATTTTGCTATCACGGGACACTAAATCCGCTTTGACAACGGAGAAAATACCAAAAGCTAAAAGAATTAGTGATTTACAATTGGACTAGTATGATGCCGATCAAATTACGATCAAAAAATTTGGTTCCAGGGACAATAAAAACAAATAAAGTAAGGTTACCTTTGCGGTCAACAAATGTCAGTGTGGTCAAGAAATTTGGTACGCTTTTTCTTTTAGTGAAACTGGATGCCCCATTGAATTCCCCAGTAATTAAAATGGTTATACGCTGTTCACATTTGGCATTATCGCAACGAATATTTTGCAAATTCGTTCAGGTAACAGAAAATTTTGAACGACGTGGCAAGCGATTCTCGTCGCAGGTGAAACAGAAGTACGAACTAAAGGTGATCTATCAGAATTACGTCTGAAATTTCTTTTTTTTAAACAAAAAACAATGCTTTGTTTCAAAGCTGCAGCTGAAGAATGAATTTTTCAGCTTCCCTCATCACTGGGGCTTCATCGGTTTGGCCGTTTTGCATGCACATCCTTGTATGGCGGAGGCACATCCGAGCTCGAGTCCTTGCCAGTACCACCCTCTCCCATAAATCTTCAGGTCCTCAATGTTTCTACAAATTCGGTTGAGCTGTCTTGGAAACAGCCTGTTCTTGCAACACGTGAGCAACGCCACAATCATGTAAGTGAGTAAGCAATCATTCTGCCTTTTTTTATACGTTTTTGCACATATGTAGATTGCCAAAACGCATACTGGGAAGAGGTTTTGTGTGTGTATCTGTGTTCGCACTTTCTGTCACTCACTTTCAACTCGAGAACTAGAAAAGCCAGAAGGCTGAAACTTTGGGAGTATGTGCCCATACCGTTCGCGACCCTCCCATTTTAATATCATTCCCCGCGGACAACTGGGTGCCGCGTATGGATGCTTTAAAAAAATATGCAAATTTTTGGCTGGAAAGCGATCTCAGGAACCAAACAAGATAAGGAGCTGAAACTTTGTAGGGATATTCCTTGTGCACGTGTTAGCTCAAGGCTTTAAATTCAGCCCCCAACTATGCGTTGTACTCATGTAAGGGCGTATGAAATTTTAAGTTAGAAAGCTGAAATTTAAGGGGAATGTTCCTTGTCCAAGTACAACTTAACTATTTCAAATTTAGCCTTGAGGTATGCGCGGTTCTTACATACGGGCACTTAAATTTTGGCGGGAAAATCACTCAGTGGACAGCTAGGTCATTTTCAAAGAACTACCGCTAAGCGGAGCTTGTTCATTTTCTTTTATGCAAAATTTTACGGTAGTGAGCATATAAGGTAAGTATGAAGCAACAACCATACATGCACTTAACGACCTAATAAAACGCATAATCCGGCAAGCCTGCTGCATCCCAGCCAGTTCATTTTTTATTAACGAAAAATTCTGTTACTGATCTATATATCCTTTAAAGCAACAGTGTTATAACTAATGGTGACAAATTTATTTTTAGAAAATGCCAAACGTACCTCTTTTCACTCAAGTTTTCTGGATCCTCTCTTTTATCATTTTTCAACGAAACCTTTAGCTACAGAGCTTTGGGCTGCAAATGCAAATTTGGGTTCATTTCAGTTAAAAGTTGATGCATATCAGATCGAAATGCGTACAAGAAAAAATAGATGGTGGCAGTTGTTGCAAGTCGTACCGCTGGACCACGACCAGCCCACTGTGCCGTACAGGATCGGCCACCTTCAGCCGAATGAAGAATACCAGGTAAATGAGGGCTCCATTTCACTAAATATTGATAAGCGTGATTCTTTTTGCTAATATTTTGCATCGTTATGAAATTTTTCAGTTTCGTGTAAAGCCTCGTAGCGGGAAAGAATACGGGCAACCATCCAGAAGTACTTCCTGGTTGAAGACTTTGGCATCACCACCACTGCAACCTGTGGCGGAGATCTGGTGGAAAAAATTGAACAGCCACCAAATTCTAATAGAATGGAATTCCAACGAACTGGTGAGGTTACTCTGAAAAAATGCAAATGTTTTTGTTCCACACAAAGCAAATATAATTTCCGAACTCCCAATGCGGAGTGAGGACCGGCCGTTGGCATTACTGCACACTCATTTTGTAGGGACTTTGGAATAAAACGAATGACAGAGAACGTGAAAAATTCAGTCGCAGGATGCAAAATTAGCCAATGAAGTGAAATAACAAAAAAAAAAAGTTAAAATCGTCCGTGGAATAGGAAAAAAGAAAAGTATGACAAAGACAAAAAGCATCAGCAAATGGAACAAAATTTGTATAAATGGTACCGATTTTACCAGGAGTCGTCTTTCGATCGGACAGGAATCTGGCCCAGTTTCCTTTCCCCACTTCCAGTGCTGTCGCTTTCGTCTTTGCAAGTAAATTGGCCGGATGTTATCGCCTCTCGCTGTGTCTATTTTTCTGTCATTCCGTTGCTCAGAGATTTTGCAGCGCTAGCTATAAAATTTGTTAAGCTGTCAAGAGCTGCACTTGTTGATCCAATGGCCTAAGCTGGATGCGAAAAAAGCGCGGGCTTCACCGCCGCTCCTCTTTTCTTCTCAGAAAATATTAAATTGTCAGTATGTGGTGAAAAAATGCGAAGGCTTCTAGCGACGAAGAATTCGGTCAGAAGAGCGCTAAATGCAGCCATGCGAAACATTACTTAAAAGGTACTGTAAGCGTAGTCTGTAGCCAGAGGAGCTTCAAAATATAATGGGAACTGTTCTAAAAAAGCTAGTCTGTAAGCGCTTTAATTATTGTTCTGTCTAAAGATGATCGCTCCCTGAAAAAGAGGAAGGTAACAGAGGCAGCTTTGTTTCGGGCAGTGATTCGCATATAAGGCAAGAAGCACTTACTGCTCAACTGACGCCAAAACTGGGGTCTCTTTCTCTACTGTCAGAAGAAGACACATTAGCGCCATTATCGTTTCAGAATCGTTGCTCCGGTCCAAATCTCCGCTATTTGCTTTCCTGGTGCTACCCACTGAGAAGCGATAAGAAATATGAGGTAGCTGTTTATGCTGAAAATTACGTTATACATCTAAATCGAAGTTTGGATTGTGAGGTGATGGAAATCACCGTTGTTCCGGTAAATGATGTTGGTTCAGGACCAGCTGGATACGAAACTGTCATACACATCTCCGATAAAGGTTTTGCTTTTTATCCTGGATTTATCGTGATTGCTGTGACTGCAAGAACTGTTTCGCTAGTGCCTCTGATATGGCACATTTCAACTTCCGGCAGAAAAGGCTCCTTTCACATATCAACCTTTCCACCAAAAATTAACTTCTTGCCTGTCTTTTCTGCGTCATGTTTCCCGTGTTCAGGATTTTTCAGTGAAACTCTCCGCCGTTTATTACATATCAACACCTTTTTTTACTGCTTGGAAAAAGCTGATGAGTGAAGCCGATGGGGGAAATTTTTTAAAGAGATAACACCACCGAAAAACTCCTGGAATGAAACGGATGAATAAATTTTCCACTAAACCAGGTCATTTCGATAAAATGAGGGCTGTTTTTGTAGAGCCGACACGTTATGCCGACGAAATCGATAGCCGGGCGATAAATTCAACTTGCGTTAGATTTCAGTGGAAATGGAGTAATGTAACGAATTGCGAAAACTTCTACGGCACAAAGGTTATTCCAGAAAACGATTAACAAATAATTTTTATTAGCACTTACCAATAATTTTTATCAGCACTCCAAAATGATTTCAGAGCATAATGTAATGTTTCTAGCAACTTTGCCAATAACCTGATTTGTGATCTCATATCCAGATTCAATTTATTTTATAACTTGCAAGTGGGCGAAAGTACAAGTCAAAAATTTTAGGAATCTTAGTTCAACGAACATTGTTAAAAAGGCAGAGTAAAATTAGTTTCCAAATATGCTCTATTCCGACATAATTTATCGGCCTGAAACGGTTGGTACTAAGGTTTTTCTGGTAATGATTATGTATATCTCATAATGTGATAAATATCTGCTCTAAAAAACGAAAAACCTCATTGATACAGATGATTTTGCAGATTTCCTGTACAGACAATGCAAATGAAACAATATCTCAATCGTTGTCATCAAGAAGTACAAAATGGTTGCTGAACGGACTACAACCAAGTCAGACCTATTTATGCCTGATCACTGCTTTCGACCAGTATGGCCGTTACGGAACAGCCAGAGAAAACGTTGTCCGCATGAAAGACGCCGCGCCAATTCGCGCTCCAATAATTACCGCGCACCAAATTTATTGTGCAGTAAATTAATCCTTCACGTTCTCATTACCTTTCATTTGCAGACCTTTTAATTTCCATCTTATATTTCCTGGATAGACAGATAGAATATTTCATGAAGTTTAATTACAGCAAAATAATTACTCATTGGTCTTGCACTGGACTTCTGTGTTTGGTCAACAAACTGGTGAAAACAAAACGGATGTTTTTGGTTATAAAGTAAGTTCCTTAAGTATTCGCTAAAAAAATCAGCAACATTTAATAGGGTAACTGGGACCTCCCATACATTGTCTGTAGAAAATGCATTACTTATTCATGCTAAGGGCTTTTGCTGTGTTTGATTTTGTGGATAAATTAAAGTTACATGAAGGTGAGACCGGCTTCAAAAATGCAAGTGGAGACGCCTAAAAACAATAAAACTGGACGAGAATTCTTAAAAATTGAGCAAATTTAGACTGAAGTGACGGTAAAATTTATGAGGAGTTCAAAAAGTGTTGAATTTAGGCAGTGAAACGAAAGAAAGGAAAAGTAGTGAAGTAAGGATCCAGCTTTGTTTGAGCGCACCAAATACGCCCATTTTAATTGTAATTTTGGACTTGGCCCATGTAAAATGTGGTATTAAGAGCCGTTTTCTGTATCTATACATCTATGTGCTGTGTATGTCTCTCATCGGCCTCAGATGGGCGGAAGCTGGGGAGCTGAATTTTTAAAAGATTCACCAAAACGATCAAAACCAACCATCATCTTAAAGTTGGGCTTCAAACATCATTAAATTATTACCTATGACTCCAAGTTTCAATTTGGGGTATTTTTGTGTTCATAAAAACTCGAAACTTTAGTGACTAATTAACGGCACAGTGAAAATTAGCTAGCTTTGAGATTTAATTCCCTTTTAATCTATTTCTGTGACTTCTGAAGAAGTGAACTTGTTAATCAAAATTCTTTGACTCTAGCTTAATACGTAGAATAAACTGAATAGTCGAAAGCAGTTTTTCAAGCCGCCTTGTTTCTTATTTTCTGATGAAACGCACAAATAAGAACTGAGACTGATTTAACTCCAAAACGGAGAAACAAATGGATCTGAAATTTTCACGCCTTTCATATGTCAGAAAAGTTAAAGATCGGCATGATGCGTTCTTGTATTTGTAAATACACCTATCCTTCAGCGCCTGCACGACGTATAGGAGGTGCCGGCTCATCCATGTGCACCAAATAGCCCAGATTGAAAAAGTAATTGCTTGTTTTGTTTTTTGCGATTTTAAAATAATCTTAAATTACAGGTCACGGTTCATGTGTCCGAAACTGCATCACGTCCAGCTGAATTTCGGATTGCTGAGTCGGTGTTAAAAAATAAGGATTTTCCAAGTGTCGAAATTGAAGGATTGAAATTGATGTACCAGTACACATTCAGGGTATGGTACTTCATCATTCATCAAGGTACTGCCGGCAGGGTCATTTACCTCGCCCCGTTGTCTGAGGTATCAAAATTATCCACGTATGAGATAAAGATCCTAGCTGAGATGTGCAAAAACTAATTTGAACGCAACTGGCAAACAAATAAGTACGAAATTGAGTTAAAAAGCACGTGGAAAATAATAAATAATACAGAAAAGTAAATAGTCTCACTAAAACTTTATAAGTTTAGCTTGAAAGGCATGGTTTAAACCTAGTAGCAGCGAGCGTCATGATTGCTGGTGCGATCTTGCGTTTTTGCGACCAGCTAAAAAGGCTGTTTATTTGATGAATGAGAGTTTTACTTCGGAATTTTTTTACTATAATGATAGGTAAAAAAAAAATTTTTTTTTGAAATACAACATTTAGTTCTTGTGGCGCTATGCAAAATAAAGAAATGGCCAAAGATGGCATATAAAAAGTTTGAATTTTTTAGCTTGCCTGGTTACGGAGTTGAAAAACTGTGCATTTTCAGCTTTTTCTTGTTCCAAAGTGCGTCATAAGTAGGTGCACGTTAAAGCTTACTTGACTGGCGAGTTAAAATATTCGGACAGACCCACAGACAAACAGATATACACGCCATCGTGGTAACAGTATGTGTCCTTGCTGGGTTTTGCTGCGCTACAGCACAACATGATGAAACAAAGGCTGGAACGCACCAGGCGAGCCGGTGCGATCATGCGTTTTTGCATCAAAACTAA